TAAAAATTTGAAGAAGTGTGTCGATTAATGCTGTATCACTAAAAAAAAGTCGTAGCATAACATTCAATAAAGATTTATTTATAATAAATTTTAAGTACTGTACTCAATAAAATACACGTTTGAAGCTCCTTTTAACTAGTTTACAAGTCTTTTTATCGGTATAAATTTAGTTAAGTGATGAGAAACAAGCAGACCTTTGTTTGGCACGGCACGACGTGTATACCTCTAATGTGTCAAAATGACACTTGGATTTCATCCAAAAACAATTATTAGAATTTCTGATTTTCAATAAAAAGAATTGTGCCATTGGAACGCGACAATTTTACATTTAGGAGTGTTTTAGAACGAGAAAATGATGCAACCTTTTAAGGTCAAATCGACAGAAGAGATAGTTGATGAATATGCAAATTTGTTATTTATTCAAACAGACCCACGACACAGGCCTTTGCCAGGCGCTATATGCATATTCACGTTCCAGAAAAGAAATTACCACATACATGTAGAAAGTATAATTTATGTTTAGCTTTGAAAAAATTATCAACTGGCATGAGAAGGGTGGTCGTCGTTCGCACGTTCAACAAGGGCATAACTTGACATTGTGCACGTGATGTAAACATACAGAAGATCGCCAATTCACATCAGTATTCTTTTGAATTTTATGTTTATTGGCATTTGCTTCTGATAAAATAAAAGGTCACAATGCACGTTGAAACCGCAAATAAACCAACCAGTGCAACAATGGATGCCAGTCCGATGTCAATGTGACACAAGGGCAATCAAGATACTCACGGTCTTCGGTCTTTGCTGTGTTGCAGTGACTTCGACAGTATCTCAGAATGCAGGCTAGACCAAACCAATTTTTGAAGGATTTATCAACAATAAAGAATTAGGACACTTGAATGCCAGCTATTGATCGTAGAAGAAGAAGAGGAATGCCAGCTATTGACCCCCCCCCCCCCACCCCTCAAAAAAAAATCATGACTGTGCTGGACTTATTGAAGAATCAGAAATTCATGTTCCTACAGAACCAATCTCCAAGTGCAATGATTGTGGTACTTCATTTCTGTGAAATACTGTTTTAATATTCAATTGAAATTTGTTCTCAACATACATGTACCATATACACCAGGACTTGTTTCCTATTCATCCACCAAAAAAAAAAAAAAAGTGATAAACGTAATTAAATCAAAATTGAAAAGCTGTTTAAGAACTAATTTAATGGAACTTGATCACTTAATGGCTTGTGATAAAACTAGCCATGCAGAAGAAAATGTACATGCAACTCGTGCAGCCTCTCACAACAAATCTCAGGAACCGAGATGCATGGTTATTTTTTTATTCAAATGACCGGTAAATGGCTAGCTAATTAAAATGTGCTTTCACCTTTTTGCTGGAACATTTTGTTATCCTCAATTAAAGACAATCAACTCGTGCAACAATACAATCTCTTCCACATTTGTGTAAAATTCTCGATTATGACCACACAAAAAATATTAGCACTATGACAATGACCGACTTGCTATTAAATTGTAGAGTCTAATGTATACAATCTTTATTGCCATGGCCTCAATTCCCGATACTGATCAAAGCTAAGTTCATCATCAATTTTTCAACAAATAAAAGCAAGATAAGTTCCTGGAATATTAACTGCTATATACAACCAAAGAGTTATTTTTACAGATCATGCCGAAGTAATGAATTTTAGAACAATATTTGATTAATAAGCTCTAATTTAATCAGTTTCCAGACACCTATGTTTACAATTCATCTAGAGCTGTATTAAAAAAAAATGTAATGCTGATACATGTCCAACTGTAGGTTATAACGACCACTCTTTCAGCTGTCATTTTCATTTCAGTCTTGTCACGTATTTGGAAACTGCAAACGAAATGCAGCCTGTGACAAAACAACCCATTATGGTAAATTAAAATCCTATATACAATTCCGAAGAGTTGCTATCAATCAAGTGTTAATGACAATTAATTTTGATACCTAGTGCACTAGTGCTGTATCAAATTTATATGGGCACCATCTCAATACTAGCCTTGACAGATCACTCAATATAATAAAGTTCTAGCACAGCTTTAGCAGCCCAAGGATGTATGACAAAGAGTCTGAGAGCTCATTAGCAACACTACTTGGGGGGGGGGGGGGCAGCTAAATATGCATCCAGTTTCAAATACAGTTTTGATTAGAGATAAACTGCTCTTGTTTCAAACTAGTGGTTTTTCAATTAGTAATCTCATATATGCAAAAGCATTCAAATATTTCTCACTTGATGGAAACACAACTATTGCAATATGTAATTTTTTTGTAAATTTATGCATGCAGGTAAATTTCAGGCCTACATTGAGGTTCTTAACTGCAGTCTTTTAATCCATAGATATCGTGACAATTTGAATCCACAAAACAATACCTCATCAGCATAAAATTCAAACTGTACATGGCAATGCCTAGTAAGCACTGCAAATTCAAACTGTACATGGCAATGCCACATAAGCAGTACAAATTTAAACTGTACATGGCAACACCATATAAGCAGTACAAATTCAAACTACATGGCAATGCCACATAAGCAGTACAAATTCAAACTGTACACGGCAACGCCACATAAGCAGTACAAATTCAAACTGTACATGGCAACACCTCATAAGCAGTACAAATTCAAACTACATGGCAATGCCACATAAGCATACATATTCAAACTGTACATGGCAACACCACATCAGCAGTACAAATTCAAACTGTACACGGCAACACCACATAAGCAGTACAAATTTAAACTGTACATGGCAACACCATATAAGCAGTACAAATTCAAACTACATGGCAATGCCACATAAGCAGTACAAATTCAAACTGTACACGGCAACGCCACATAAGCAGTACAAATTCAAACTGTACATGGCAACACCTCATAAGCAGTACAAATTCAAACTACATGGCAATGCCACATAAGCATACATATTCAAACTGTACATGGCA